AAACAAACACAGACAGGTTTATTTTATTTTCAAATCTTTTATATCACCAGTAGCTTCATATTTAAGAAGCAATTTTAAGAAAATGTTCATGCAAATACCAAGAAGCTAAATCTTATTAAATAAGAGGAGTATTTCTTACAAATGATGTGTACTATGGAGTATTTGTAGTTACTTTCTGCATAAACATGAATAAATGTATTTAAACGTGTCACTGGCTTCATCTCTCCTGACGAGACGAGCACTGAATGTCGGACTTTTTTCATGCTAGTTAAAAAAATGAATGTTTTGTTAATTTTCAGTTAAGAGACAGGGCAGCAGCACCGGACGATTTGCCAACGCCACCCTGGTGCGGCTGTCCGAGTTTCTGAGTGCAGGCTACAAGAAAGGAGTGAGACCAGTGAAAGACTGGAGGACGTCCACTATCGTCGCCATAGACCTGATGGTTTACTCTATTCTGAATGTGGTGAGTCCAACTGTCCACTCACCTGCCCCTTAAATTATTGTTTTGAATAGAATATGGCTTCTGTTTAACTGCAGTACACATACATTTCACTTGGATTAAAAACTGTTTTTCTAGAGACGACCCAGAAAACTGTTTTTGTTTTAATTTCGTTTTCCTCAGGATGAGAAGAACCAGGTTCTGACGACATACGTGTGGTACAGACAAGTAAGAGAAACATCTATAACGTCTACTCTCAGTTGTTCCATAAACAGAACCACTTCAATTGAAGACATTAAAACTCATCTTCAGCAGCTTGACCTCACGTTATAAGATTCTGCAGCGTTATTGACAACTTCAAGGTTTTCACATCTTGGAAAACAAATTCCTATATTTCTTTTTACTTAACAAAATAACACAAACCCTTAAGTAGGGATAAACACGTAATATCAACACTCTTCACATTCTTCAATGTTCTTATTTTGGAGGAGTTCTGAGGAGTAGTTTTTTACATTCAGCCACCAGGCAGGATGAACACCAAGGACTTTCTTTAAATAAAAACCTCAAACAAAGTCCATTCATTAATTAATTACTGCATAAAGTTATGATGAACAGCTCAGTATCCTGCCTCTGAACTCTTCACAGGGAGATTTAAACTGAAAATGAAAACTGTTCCACAAAAAACAAAACATCAGCAGGTGAAATTAAAAAAAAATAAATCAAAATAGTCATTTCACCT